TGTGTATGAGCCATATACCAGATTCCTGTCGGGGCCGGGAAGACTGGGTCTTCCTGACGTACGTTGTCCCTGACTACATGAACTCAGTGTGACAGGTTTGGGAAGGATTCGTTGCGCAGATAGAGATGGAGTCCGTGCAGGAAAACGTTTTTGTGATTCGTCGTATAGTGAGGTGAAAAATAAGGATGAGTTGTCCTCACCGGGAAAGTGGCCACCAAGAAGCGGCTGGCACTGATATGATCACGGACATATGCAAAAATGTTTTCGTAGTCACACCCTTATGCGACGAAGGTGGTACACCATTGGGTTTGACGCCGACTTAAATTTTCTCTTTACTTTGTATGTCGTGGATTATGCAAAAAACGTCATCACTCAGTAAATGAAGAAAGAGAGAAGAAAACTGAGGCCATCCTTAACATTTAGGTTGAAGACGATTTATTTCTGCGAGTTTTAATTATAACAACTGCCGTTAGACTTATTTATTTGAGAAAAATTAAATAAGTCTAATGGTAGCGAACTATAACAGATTACATAACAATTAAATCCATGATAAATAACTCTTCCATTAATCTTATCTCTAACTTATCTGATAGTATTCAAAATACATATTGGAATAATTAGAAAAAACCTATTTACAGTAATCTATACTAACTTCAAATCATTATTCTCTATACATATATTCAAATTATCAGTTAGGTATGTTTTCTCCGGATCAGTGGATCAATAATGTAAGCCTTGACTAAGTCTCGAAGAAACCTCAAATTCACACCCTAAACCTAAACGAACTGAAAACTAAGGATATAAAACTAGAGGATATTTTCGATCTATCGAAAGACACTTCGGTCTGTAATGGTAGGCCGGAGCTCCAGAAAAATTATGAACCGATGGACCGGCTGATAATACGTGATTCCAGCAAGATGAGTCTACCGCCGATTGGCCGTTGTTTCCGGTCGATTGCAGGGTCTTTAGCTTTATATCCCGGTATTTATCGGACTATTTATTTTTTATTCTGAATCTGATAGATTACTAATCAAATCTATCAAATATCTCAAATTCAAAGGTGGTGAAGAAATGATGACAGAAAGAGTTTCCACGTTCCATATTGGGATTTGGGATGTGCTTCACCTATTATTTATTCTGCGATCACGTCACGAATGCCTCAGTTCTCGGTGAAAAAGTTTTTGAGGTTAAGTTTACTGTGTGTTTGATTTGTGTAATGGCGAAATTGTATGACTCCTCAAAAAAGAATAGTTAAAGTCAGATAGATTGGATAATCAAATAGATAACACTATCAATTCATTCATCATATAAAATGTAAGAGGCGAGACGTCTCACAGTTTCTCGCAATTGTATAAAAGAGCAGATTTGTTTTTTTTTTTTCTTCTAAATATTAGATCGACGTTTAAGTATAGAATAAATAAGAGTACTTGCCAATGTTTTAATAGCCTAGATAATTATTATTAATCAGATAAATCGCACCCCAAGAAGGGGCCCACAGGAAGTGGACCTGGTCGAGCCCCGACGGTTCGACAAAAAATGAGATTAACTTCATTATGACGACTAGGTGAACTGTTCAGTGATGTCTTAGTGATCGCGAGGGTGAAAACTGGTAGCGATCACCGAACCATGTCGTCTAATGAAGTCAACGCTCCGTCTCCCTCGTGCTCTGATGCAAAGTCCCGAAACATTTCAGCTCGAGTAACAAAACAGTTTTCAGTGACTAGAAGATAGCAATGCAGTGGACGATATCAATGACAAGCTCGTGGAAACTGTCCATGCGGTCGGAGCTAAATTTTGCAAGACCCGCCACAGAAGAACACAAAAACTCTCCGATCACACTCTTAATTAGAGGGGAAATGAAACTGCAGTCTTCAGTGGATTTGACAGCATACAGGCAACTAAATAGACAGATCTCCAAATGCATGCGGCGGGACTTACGTAACTTTAATACTGCTCGTACTAAAAAAGCGATCGAGCGGAATCAGGGCTCCAAAGTCTTTGCCAGAGATTAGTCTGCCAGAAAGAGCCGATTGTCGAAGCTGAAAACCGAATGTGACAGCATTATTTCCGGGACACCTGAGATTTTGAGTGAAATTGAGAGGTTCTATGGACAACTGTATACATCATCGTTGGAGCTATACGAAAGTTTGAGTAACGATCCAAAAGCGTGTCTTATCCGATCTTAGCGGTATGAGTCAAGTGCACAAAATCCTCCATGAACATTTAGCGGTCAGGAAGCTTTGTGCCCTCATAATTTGACATAGGCCCAAAAACTCCGTCGTGTTCATTGGTGTCGTGAAATGGTTCAAAGATTTAACGGAGGTGACTCAAATACTGTGTTCGACATACTTTTTAACAGTGGTAGAGCCACGTGGCGGCTATTGCTGTCGCACGGATGGGCCGGCTCGAACCGGGATGGTACCACGACCTCACAGAATACCAGCGTGAAGTAGAGGTTTACCTCTGCGTTTCGCTTGGTGAGTGCAGGTGGCCGGAGGCCCTTTTTACTGGAAATGAGGCATTCCATCTTAGTCCTCACGGGTGACAACGCATCTGCATTTTGATTTGTAATAGAGGATAGATGTAGATGTCTATGGGCCGCAGCAACCACTTACCATCAGGTGGACTGTGTGCTCGTTTTTCACCCTTATCCTATAAAAAAAACTTACGGGTGACGAAATCTGGATTTATTGTTATGATCCTAAAACTAAGAGCAGTCTGCTGTCTGGTCGTTTCCTTCCGAGGAGTTGCCAACTAAAGTGAAGACAGGTCGAAGCGTGGGAATAGAGATGGTGGCCTCGTTCTTCGGAAGGACAAATCATTACGAAACAATTGTTTTAGAAGATTGAAAAACATTTACTGCAGAGTGGTACACTAACAATTGCTTGCCACTTATCTTGGAAAAAGTTCGGTAGAAACGACCTTGCAGTAGGATCCTCCTTCACCACGACAATGCCTCGTCGCACACCGCCAAGCAAACAATCGACTACTTGGCGACGTCAGACCTGGAATTAATGGGTCAACTGCCCTATAGCCCCGACCTCGCACCTTGCGATTTTTATTTATTTCCGAAAATAAAAGAATAACTTCGAGGAAAAAATATTATGGACGCCGAGGAAGCAGTGGCTGTGTTTCAAAATGCTCTCTAAGGGCGAGTGGGCAAAGTGCATTTCTCAGTGGTTCCATCGGATGCAGCGATGTATTGATGTAAATGGACACTTTTTTGAAAAGATATAATAAAAGTAATAACTTGCTAGTTTGTTCAGTTTTTGATTTTCTAAGAACTTTAGTGTCACCCACGTACGTGGGCTTTCTTGATAACCTAGGTAAGTGAGTTCGCAGTTTGACCGCTACAACGACTAAAAATGGGCCCAAATAGGAAGATAGAAGCTGAAGGACTTATTTTGAAATCAGACTTATAGGGCCGCTCCCTATAATTCAAAAAAGGTTAAAAACTTTTCGATTTTGTAAATATAATTTACATCAAATCATTCACTTGCCATGATACAAAGATGATCTATAATATATTACCGGCAGTGAAGCTCTAAGATATAAGATATAACATAATATGACCGTAACGAACCTTCACATAAGCCACCACCGCCTTAAATTATCCTGAGGTCGCCCGCATAAACTAAGAGTGTGACGAATGAAACTGTATAAGGCTATATGATTATATTAATACTTTGAATGAGGTCTACAATAACTACCAACTAAAAAATAAGTAAAAAGTAGTAAGTAATAAGTAAGAAAGATCCTCCCTGCCTATCTGTTTTCTTATTAGTTTATATGTCGTTATACATGTTTTCTTCATATAAAATGATTATTTTTAACAATTTACAATAACATTATAAAGTTATAATGCAGCTAGTTTTAGAACATTTTCTATGGAGTTGTAAAGAAATTTTTATTAATTACAGTGAATTTTATAAGTTGGTCGACTATTACTCGTTAACTTCTTAATTCTACTTAGCGGTGATAGTTTTTCTTTTAACTTAATTATAAATACCACTATCGTCCATACTTTTCACATTTCCAAAAACAGTGGTTTAATTGTTAGATCGACACATGACTGTAATGAAAAATACCATTTTAAAGCTAAATATTTCGCAAACGGACCCCTGAAACAAATAGACCAGAGTGCCAGACCCCCTGTTTTTTTGAAAGACCTATCCAACGATACCTCACACGATGGAATAGACGGGTAAAAAAAATCATCCTCCGTTTACTTGCATGAGAAGTAAACAATTTCACATTTTTCTTGGCGGTATTAATATCTATAACTATGCCAAATTACAGATTGGTAGCACCTAGGGTCTCTGAGCAAAACCGCGGACGGTCGGACGGACGGATATGGCGAAATTATAAGGGTTCCTTGTTGTGTAACTACGGAAACCTAAAAACAGATGCGTTGTCACTTCTGAGAACTAAGTTGAAATTGATAGTTTGTATTAACTTTATTTTGCCTGAAATATCAAATAATATCTCCCCATGAAACTTTTTTTCAAAGAAAAAATTTAACAAAATCCTCTTCTTTGTTATCCCGTTTTATGTCTGAGCATCATATTTGTCTGTACACTGGAGTGAACTCTGTCATTATAATGCTGAATTTATTGTCAATGGATAAAATTTACGTTTTGTTCTATGCAGAACTCTGAAATATGATTAAAGGTAGTGGTTATATTCTCTTTGATGATAACGACAAACGAAAGGATTTTGAAGCTTATTTTCAATTACCCCTGTTTATAATTATCCTGCCTCACCTTCCTGTTTGGGACAGTTACTATATATACTCTTTGGCCTGACCCTACAGCTGGGAACTTGGATGGATGTATCCACAGAACACTAATACCCTTAGGCGGGGATGTATCCTCTTAGTAGTCTGCATAGATAATATACTATATGGTAGTCTGTGTAGCGAAGCGAAATAGTGGTACATGGGTACATACTACATAATGTTTTGTGGATTTTAATTCTCTAATTTCTTTCTTCTCTTAAAAATGCTAAGCCTTTGTAGATTAACACAAAACATTTCAAATTTTAAACATTTATGTCGCAGTAGTATCAGTTTAAAATTAATCAGATCAAACACCACTTACGCGAATGTTATCAAATCTCAAAAATACAAGAATCAAGAAGGTGGAGAAGTTATAAAATGGATCTTATTGGTAAGGCAAATATTGTTATAAATGTTTAATTTTTTATTTCTTCCTCAAACTAATATAACTTATTTTCCCCTTGTTATTAAACCGCTATGAATCTGAAACTCATATCATTATTATATGATTGTTCTGGTTCTTATTTGTTTGGAATAGACAGGATTGTAAACTAAGACTGGAATTTCGATGTGCAATGTTTTTGTGATCGTATGCATATCGACATAGACATTTTCTTAGAGCATAAGTTGTAAATAGATAAAGTTTATTTGTATTACGAGAATGAAATAAACGGCTAGTTGCTGGAGATTTTTACTCATGTGAATATGGCTGTGCCAAGAACTTATCTTAAATATTCTTACTTTAAATAATCCATCATCATTTATTCATAATTATTGTTTTTCTTATGTCCTAAAGTAAAATTAAGTTATGTTATCCATCACAATTCCACATGACAATCAAATTACAATTATTGCTGGGTGATACACCACCATTTGTTTGCCCTGTGTCTCATCAAAGACAGAAGAAACCGCAATAACTTTCATCCAGCATGTGACAAACTTGCCCTGAGACTCAGACTAATGATCCTTATGGTTTCAAAAATGATTTGAACAAATGGAAAAGTATTTAAAATGTAATGGAGAATACTTTGAAAAGCAGTAAACATATTAGTTTAAATATAAATTATATTATTCGCAAGACATTCAAAGAATGGGCCATAGTAGTTCATAAGAGTAGACAAAGGCTATATAAACTTTACCATGAAAGGTCAAATTTAGGGAATACATAAAAAATATTCAAAAATAGAGTGGGTGCCCCAGTTCCACACCAAGAATGAGTAGTACACCATTTCAATCTTCAAACCTGAATATTAACCGTCTTTTGAATTTCCAACCATTTTTTTACATTTGATAACCTTGCCATACTTCTACCAATCATAAAATCATAACTAAAAGTGATATTATGTGTCATCTACATCATTAAAAACACCTTCTGAAGCAATCGTTGTTCACTTTGTTCCTGACGTCCATTTTACTAAGCATGTGTAGGACCGTAATTAATTTTAACCTTTTTAAATATTTCTTTATGTCAATTATTTTAACCTATTCTTGAGTTAACTGCATAATATAATGAATATTATAATAATATTACGTCTTATTTTCTCAGAAAATACTAATTTAAATCAATGATAGTCATTGGTAAACCATTGGAACACAAATTCTATGATTATCCTGTAATATTCCATTTGGTTAACAACTGGTGATTAAGCTTTTTAATTCATTTTTATTTATTTTTTTACATATATATTCACTTATTAAGATACTTCAATAAATTATTACAATAAATTCTTGAAAAATACTACAAGTTTGTTCCAGTAATTAACTACCTACACTTTTTCTACAGAAACAATGCCACCAAAAAGAACTTTTTCAATTATAAGATGTTACAAAAGCAATATATGAGATAAGTAAAGGTGTGAAAGTTTGAGAAATGTGCCGAAAATATAATATTCTCCACACAACTGCCATAAAACAACATTATGAGCCTTGTAGTATTAATGATTACATAAAACTTTACACGATTTAAAATTGTGATGATTACTGATCATAAAACGTAATTAAGTTCAATAGTATTAATAATAAATAATGATTTCTTATATTTACGCGAACACTACACATTGAATCAAACTACTTTTACACAAATAAAAATAGTTTTAAAAAATAAGTTATAGGTATTCATTCTGTAAATACTAAGATCAGACAAGCACTAGTAATAACAGTTACTTGACTCCACCGAGTCAGTAATTCATTCTTGGGGCGATGTTACGCTTTTACAACTAAATACCAGAAAATATACAAAATTTGACCTCAAAGTTCAAACTATTTATTGAAGAAATATTAAGGAATTTATGGATTATAATAACCCCTGGGAATAAGGCACTACCTACCTATTTCTAATTTATTTTCTGTTGTTGATTGTGTAACATATATGATTGTAAGCTGTTTTATTTAAAGTCCCGCCGTTTTTCTGTCTGGTTTTTACCAGGACAAAGGTTTTTTCTAAACCAGTGGTAAATTTGTTAAAAACTTTCTATTCTATTCTATGAGTTACCTAAAACTTTCACTGTGCCCCAAGTATAATTTGAAAAACGAAAATAGATAAAAATGCAGAGGAAACCAGGGTGAAAATATTTGATTTTATGGTTAAAACAAAAAAATAGTTATTTGATGTATTATATCACAATTACAGTGGAATCCATGTATCAAAGGGAACGAAATAACAAATTATACGTATACATACTAAGCGGACGTCATAAAAAGCATTTTGTAGAAAATAAACAATCTCCTGTTTTAATAGAGAGAAACAAAATAAAAATATATAAATAATAAACAATCTAATACAATAAATCAAAACAATATAATAAATAAAAATAAAAATTGTACTTAATAATTACGTATGTTGTAAAGTATTTATTAATTTTTTACTTAAGAAATCAGTAAAGCTTGTTTGATTTTGTTTTCTCCTTATATTCTAATTTTCTAATAATAGTATAGTGTAATTAAGACATCGCCTTTGTCAAATTATCATTTTCAATATTGCTATGAACAAGTTGTGATAACAATTCTGCAGCCTTTAATGCCTCTTCTGTGGTAGGTAATGGTTAATAGAAATAAAGTAACCCCAAGTTCTCTTGCGAGAGATGAGTTGGATTCTTCATTTTCTAATCTGCATATTATTGCACCTATCTCCTCAATCATAAGTCCTTTGCGACGACGTTGAGATATCATTTTTTCCACAAATCACTAACAAACAATGCATGACTTTCAACTATCAAGTACCCAATGAGATGAGACTCAAAACAAAAAAAAAGCCATGCACGCGCCGAACGTCGTCGGGTATCACATGACTCTCTCGAACACTGCAGAAGGTGTTAGGAATCATGTCGGTCACTATAACCGACACATGACATATACCAGATTAATTGATTGTGCCTATCATAGTCCACTACTGGACAAAGTTCTCCTCCATAGGTTGATGCTAGTAACAACTTAGTGTCAGTGCAAAAGAACAGATACATGACTGCATCATTGGGAAGCACAATTTTCATGAAAGAAATATAGAATTATATCTGATATATCCAAAAATACTTTAGTATTTTAATTTATTTCTACTTATGTAAAAATAATGTATGACTAACCTTATTGGTATTAGAGATTTTATCATCTTTATATATAAAAATTACGTGTCACATTGTTTGTCCGCGATGAACTCTTAAACTACTGAAATGATTTCAATGGATTGCGCACTGTGTGCAGTTTGGTTCAACTTGAGAGAGATTAGTTTTTATCCCTATAAGTAACCCTCAATATTTTTTGAGGGCAGAACAACGTCTGCCTGGCCAGTTAGTCTTTATATATAAAAATACGTGTCACATTGTTTGTCCGCGATGAACTCCTAAACTACAGAACTGATTTCAATTAAATTTCGCACACTGTGTGCAGTTTGGTCCAACTTGAGAGATAGGATACTTTTTATCCCGATAAATGACCTTCAATATTTTTATTGCGAATTTAAGGATTTTTTATAGGAAGGGTAGTCAGAAAGGGCTAAACAACGTCTGCCTGGCCAGCTATTTTAGTATATAGTGATAATGATTTGTTGTTGCAGTAAAAATTTTCAAATGGCATTATTTTATATTTCCATGATTAAAATAAAAATAATGTAGGTATGTACTTATTACATTCTAAATTAATCAGAATATGATCTTTTTAACTATTTTGATGGTACTGAAAATATGTTTCTGGGTCTATTTTAAATATTTTTTAAAGTATTTCGTTTTTATAGAATTAGTGCAACATAGACCATACAATTATATTGGTTAAACACTTTTTTCATGTGAGATTTAGCATAGATAAGTTTATATGGAGAAGGGGTGTAGAAAGCTATATATGTGTAACAAATATGTGGTAGTGCCATGCTGCAGCTATATTAGTAGTATACTTGTATCACGAATGGGTCGGCACAACCGGGGAAGGACCATGCTATCACAGAATACCAGCGTAAAATAGCAGCTTAACACTGCTGTGTTTTGTATGGTGAGTGTAGAGAACCGGAGACCCTTTTTACTGGAAATCAGGCATTCCATCTTAGTCCTCACGGGTGACAACGCATCTGTATTTTGATTCTTTATTGAGGATAGATGTGGATGTCTACGGGTCACAGCAACCACTTACCATCAGGTGGACTGTGTGCTCGTTTGTAACCCTATCCTATAAAAAAATACTTTAAATTAAACAAAAAACATTCATACTGCCAATGTCAAACACATAATAGTCTGTTTTCACAGTCTGTTACCACAGAGTAGTGGTTGTCACCAAAGAATTAAAATGGTGCCAACAAATAATAAGTACTTCATTTTGTGATTTTTTTTAATAGAATAAGGGTGACACACAGTTTATTTGATGATATGTGAATACTGTCATTCATAGACATAATAATTTACCCCCGATTATGGTTTAAAATTATTAAGTTTGAAAAAAAAATGTGTGTAAACAAAGATTTTGTACTAAGCAAGGTGCACAACACAATTTTTTCAGCCCTTGTCAGGAAGTCTTGTGTTGAATATCGTATATTCTATGCTTGTAATTTATATACATATATAGAAATATCATAAATACATTTTAAAATATATAAATTACAGATGATTCCTGTAACTTCGTTTGGGCTAGGATGCTGGCAGGTGTATCGTTTGCGATGGAAATTGGAATTAGTTGATATGTTGCAGGCAAAATCTAATGCAACTCCAGTAAATATGCCTACTAAGTAATAAATCTTTAAAACTATGTGTCTTCTTTACAAAATTACTACAACTGTGCATTGTAAATTCCTCAATGATTTCAGCTTTGAATCACTTGAAAAGATGGAATATATGCCAGTTAAAGTGCGAGGACAATTTCTTCACGATAAAGAGATCCTTATTGGACCTAGAGCTCTTATAGAACATAATACGCCATTACCTAGAACAGGGTCTCTAATTTCAGACCCAAAGAAAAATCAAGGATGGCTAGTGATTACTCCTTTCAAACTGTCAGAAACGGGGTAAGTTGATTGGAAAAATGTGCATTTATACTTTAGTTTGCTTGCTAAATGTTGGTTCATTCTTTTCAGGGATATTATATTAGTAAATAGGGGATGGATTCCCCAAAGTCTTCGTCCTAAAGAAAAACGACAGCAGTCAATGGTGAAGGGTGAAGTAGAGTTAACAGGTGTGGTGAGATTGACAGAAAATCGTGGACCCTTTATGCCAAAAAATCACCCAGAAAAGGGGTCCTGGTTTTATAGGTGAGTAGTGTTCCAATATAAGAAACTAATCATCCAGCTTTATTATTTATGTATTTATCTAAATCTAAAACATGGTAGAGCCACGCTACAGCTATATTATGGTTGTAGCATGAATGTGTCGCCTCGACCGGTAGGACCACGCTCTTACAAAACGTACCAGCGTAAAATAGCAGCTTGATGCTGCTGTGTTTCGTATGAGGAGTGTAGAGAAACGAGGACCCTTTTTGATTTGATTCTTAATCAAGGATAAATGTAGATGTCTATGGGCCATAGCATCCACTTACCCCGCGTGCGACCGCGTTGTACAGTGAGCAACACCATCATTACCGTTTTCTACCGCCACGAATCTGATCTTTGGACGGTTCATCGAGTCCAGGCCTCAAGGCATAATTCTGCACTTTGTATTATTTTGTTTTTAGCAATGCAATAACGAAAAATTAAAGTGATAATTAATTACGGTGTCTTAAAACTAAAGCTCTTAAATTTACATGAAATTACCGAAGATGATGAGCCTCATAGAGTTGAGTTATAAATCGATCCAAAAGTTTTTCAGGAAAATGGTAACAAAAAAGTGCACAAAAACAAACTGTTAGAGCAAACACACATATACCGTATTCGTTCCGACGTGGGTAAAAATAGCAATTTCCTAAATTTCGGGTAATTTTTCCCCAAAAATTATTAAAACCCTAATCACGTGACGCATGTTTTGTGTTCCAAAAATAGCAATTTAATTTATGACAAAAATTCTCAACTAAGTGATTATAACTGATTCCTTGATGATTTTTTGTAAAACTACTATGATTTTTGCAAGATATAACGACCCAAAACGGAATGTTTATTTTTGTTTTTTACTTACGCATCTACTCGCGGATGTGTGAATGTGTGCGTGACCCCTTGTACGTACAATCGAGCTGACTTATTTTGGATGCTTCACTGGGTTGTATAGCTAGATTCAGTCCGTCTTTTTTTATACTTCCATTATGTTAAGTGAACTTATGATGCGTGTGTTTTGTAACTAGGTATCACGGACTAGAATTTATCGAATTTTCGGCATGGAGGCCTCGGCAAAGCATCCTCTAATGCAAGGGATGGGATGTCCTGTATGAAGAATTGGGAGGAATTAATTTAATTGTTGAATATTGATGGTAAACCTTAGATTTATCAAACGCTATTTAAAAACATAGGTTATATCTTTTTTATTCATTCAGTTATCAAGATCTAAAATTTGACCAAATGTATTTTTTTCTGTCGTCTCATGACACCCCGGAATGATATGGGGTAGTGGATTCTCACACGCTCACACTACACGGCACAGTGCAAGGCTCAGTTCTCTCATTTCAGAGAGGAGTTTATGGCAAGAGAGTGTCCGCCGTATGTTGTTAACGTAAATTAATTTTATTTCACTAGATAGCTAAACGTACTGAGGTAACTTATATTATTTTGTTTGATTACGATGGACTGGCTAACGCTACCCGCAGTTACATAACAAGCACGCATGTCTTCACATCGTGAGATAAAACATGTATCTCTAATTTTTTTTTTGTATTTAAATATTTAATTACAAGTTTCTTTTAATAATGTTACGCGTTTCGGGTTCAAGACAATTAAAAATTGCCGATTGAATTACCAAAATTGACACTTTAATTACAGAACACTAATTACAACTTAAAACCACACTAATAATAAAACACAATTGTACTACTGATCACTTTACTTCGCAGTTATATCGCTTCGTAGTATTCGCTTGTGTCGCCATATCAATGCTGCCCCGGTTACGGTCTATACCGGCCTTATATAGGGCATTCTAGAATGTTCGACTACATATCGGTCCCGATTGACTAGGTGTCGATAATTCTAGAAAGTTCTTCCACGGAAATTTCTAGAAGGATCTTGACTCTTAGTTCTGCTACTCGATACTAGAGGGCGCTAGTGGTAACTAGTGTTGCCATGTATCTTTCAATAATTGTGGCGCGCAACAATAAATTGTATGATATTAACGTTCACACAAAACTTTTTATTTTATATTATTTAGTACTTTTTTAATTATGTATTAAATAAATTATACTCGATAAGTTATATCCCACGTTGCTTACATTCGTTAGTATTAAAACTGGAAATTTCAAACTTTCTCTTCTTTGTAGAAAATGAGGGGATAACAGACCTACAATAAAATATAATTTACTTTGAATATTGATGGGGAGAGTATCCCTTGTAACACTTTTAAACACAAATTATATAATATATGTGTTATCTTTGCAGAGACCTACATCAAATGAGCGCTCATCTAGGGTCCTTACCGGTATGGCTGGACGCCCGAGGCATACCTGACCCGCCCGAGGGATGGCCAATACCCAATCAAACCAGAGTTGCATTAAGGAATGAGCATTTCTCTTATCTTGTAACATGGTATTCACTATCGGCATTCACCGCGGTCATGTGGCATAGGTACTTTATACGAAAGCTGCCTCTTTTATAAGCATATTATGTAGTAATTTCTGTAGAAAATAAAATTAAAATAGATATCATTTAGAAATTCATTATATTAAACTTGCTACAAATATGTATTTATATTAATTGTAATATTTAATGCAGAAAATATAACAACGTCATTCTATAATGCATTTATTTAATTTAAATAAAACATATTTTACTGGGACACCAACTATATACAAAATAGTCGTGTTTTTATCATCCGACTGACACAGTCATATATTGAAAGTGATCTTAATGATTTGGATTATTAGATCAGTTTCAACATAGTCATTATAATGACACTCAGACGTCTCATTTGGATCGGAAAACTTGAGATCTAAACTACTGGCATACTAGGCTCAAGTGAACGGCGTATTGTACATGCCCGTTAACATATGAAAAATAAATTTAATGTTGTCATTGCTGGCAGGACTAGAACTAGCAGGTACAACAACAAACTATTTTTTGATAATAACCCCTGGGAATGAAGTGATCGCTAACATGCCGTGTCTCTGTTTTCATATTAATTATTGTATAAAATAATATATTTTTGGTTCAAGCGTTGCTGGATACAATTTATTTCACAAATGCTGAATTGTGCGATAATTGTGTCTGAAAAACAGCTGGATATGAAATTTGAATAATAGTGGTAGTACAGTAAGTCAAAACTTTTTATATTTTGTGAATAAAAGCACTAGGGTGTAGGGTGAAACACCGACCGACAACTTCTTGACTCTGAACAGCTACTAAGAATTATCATCAGTTATAATAATCTTATAACTGATATAGACCTGACCTTCGGTGGGACACTACCCATATTCTTCAAACGGGAACTCATCCTCTGCTGTTTGGCGGCAGAAATGGGTGATAAAAAGACAAGTATGTCTAAACAATAAAGATATTATAAGCGCAAAAATCAAGTCTAACAACTCACGTTGAAGAAATATACCGATGTAAGTATGCTATGTCACAGTCCGGAGTTTTAAATTTTAACTTCAATCATTCAATTCAATATAGCATTTTTGTTCTGTTGAAAATCAACAGACACTAGAGATCTATTGATAAGCAATTCATAAAATACTATTGAGAGCTACTGCAAAATTTATAATGGAACGATTTTATTACTTACATTGATATAGATATAATTATTGTATATAATCTACTGAATTAACAAAATAATAGGTCAGGAAAAAAGTATCTTTGTATTTTATTTGTATAAAATTGAAGAGAAATTTATTTGGTTGGGCTGTTTTTATCAGGGCTCGGAACCGGTTTAAAAAGAGCGGTTAATTTCGATTAAATACCGGTTACAAAATTAACTGGTTTTTATTAAACCTAAACGATAAAGGTTACCGGTTACTTAATGGTTTTGACACCCAAATTAACCGGTTAATTATGTAAAACGTAAAGGCAGTTACGAATAGGACAGGTAGATTCACGTTGTGAGGTGGTTATGCGGCATCGCCGCATGCGGGCATACTTATCATCAATTATCTCCCTTTAAGCGATACGTTTTTTCAGTCGCGATCAGGGTGTCAAGTGGAAGTTTGGCGTTTACGAAAAACGTGAAAGTATTAGAAAAGTTTTGAACGAAGAAAGGCAGTTATTGTGTTTGATTTATTCGTTAATACTGGATTTGTCTTATAACTCAGAAAATAATTTATTCTTGTGTGTTGTTTGTTTATTTATGATGGGCAGAAAAAAAGTAAATAAAATTTATTCCTTGTTTACGTTTTAACAGTGGTTGGGCCACGCGGCTGCTTGCTGTCGCATGGAAGTGCTATCTCGAACCAGGGTAGTACGACGACGTCACAGAATACCAGTAGGTGGTCGGAAGCTCAATCGCCCCCCCCCCCCCCTCCACCCTTAAAGTATGGTAGCGGAATCAAATAAAAAACTACCTTAGGAGGGTACCAACATCCTGGTGACGGAGACTCAAGCTGCCCCACGTATTCCGGTATTCTGGGGAGGGGGGGGGGGTATCCGAGATTGTGATTCTTTCCATCACGCCGAATGACTCGGTTCACATTTAACCGACCATGTGGGGAGATTTATTTATGACTTTGCCTTGGTATATGGTTTTACACAGCTGGTTACTTCGCCTACGCGGATTCCAGATGTGGCGGTTCATGCACCTTCCCTGTTGGAACTTCTGCTGACATCTCATCTGGACGGATATACTCATGGCTCCTAGGGCCATTGTCTTGTCCCGAGGATGATGTCACTCACACTATCGTCGCGGTTGCATTCTGCAGGCTGCCGCTGTGTTTGGCACTATAGGTTGGCCGATTGAGAAAGGATGCGGTCTTTTTTGCATTCTTTCAACAGTGGTAGAGCCAAGCGGCAGCTTTTGCTGTCGCACGGATGGGCCGGCTCGAACCGGGGTGGTACCACGACCTCACAGAATACCAGCGTGAAGTAAAGGTTTACCTCTGCGTTGCGCTTGCTGAGTGCAGCTGGCCTAATTCCCCACCCATCAATATGGTAGCGGAATTAAAGAAAAGACTACCCCTGGAGAATCCCTCGCTGAGCACCCACCACCAAACTACTTCACTCCTGAGCGTGGGTGCTCAGGCTGCGCCGCGTATGCTGTGGGGGTGGGGGGGGGGCAAAATTCCGCTCGCTACTAAAACTGCTCGGGACAAGCGGAGCAATAAGACCCAGGCGACCCCTGTCACGCTATCCGTGAATTTTTGCAACATCAGGGGACTTTATTCTAACCTTAACGCCGTCCATTACCATCTAGAGACGGCGAAGCCGGCCTTGCTCTTTTTAACCAAGACTCAAGTGTCCTCTCCGGCTGATACTTCATATCTCTCCTACCCGGGGTACAAATTAGAACACTCCTTTGTGCCTCGGGCTGGGGTTTGCGTATACGTCAGAAAGGACATCTGTTTTCGACGCCTCGGCAGTCTTGAAGATACGGACCTGTCCATTTTATGGCTGCGCGTAGACAGCGACGACCATCCCCGCATCTACGGGTGCCTCTATAGGTCCCATAGCGGTAATGCCGACACAGACCGACTCATCGACAACGTCCAAATGGCTGCAGACTCCGTGCTACAACAGGTCCTATCCGCAGAGAGCGTGATACTCGGTGATTTTAACGCCCACCACGCTGAATGGCTTGGTTCCCGTTTAACTGACGATGCGGGTAGATGTCTATGACTTTGCCTTGGCATATGGTCTAACACAACTGGTTACTTCACCTACGCAGATCCCAGATGTGGAGGATCATGTACCTTCCCTGTTGGACCTCCTGCTGACCTCTCATCCGGACGGATATCTGGTCTCCGTCGATGCCCCTCTGGGCTCTTCGGACCATTGTCTGATCCGGAGTACGGCACCGTACTCGCTCACACGCGTACACGCTCCCGTCGCAGTTGCGATCTGCAGCTTGTCGCCGTGTTTAGCACTATAGGTCGGCCGATTGGGACGGGATTCGCACTTTTTTGCATCCTACCCTTGGTCGTGGGTTTGCTTCTCGCCGGAAGATCCCAGCGTTGTTGCCGATTCTGTTGCTGATGTAGTACTTCAGGGTATGGAACTTTTTATTCCATCCTCTGTGGTGCCCATCGGAGGTAGATCAAAGCCGTGGTTTGGTCGCTCCTGTAAAATAGCATCTCGCTATAAGCAGGAGTGCTACCGGCCTTGGGCTGACGCATCAACGTCTCGGGATGTAAATACCAGCGCACTTAAAAATAAGTATTATTCCGCCTCCAGGTCCTTCAAAAGCGTCATTGCCAAGGCAAAGTCTGAGCACATCGACAGAATTGGCGAGAAGCTAGTCCGCCTTCCTTTGGGAACCCGTGCATTCTGGTCTCTCGCCAAGGCTGTCCAAGGGAACTTCTGTCAGCCATCTCTTCCATCTCTGCACAGAGAGAACGACTCACTGCCCCATGCCGCAAAGGAGAAAGCTGATCTTTTAAGCTCTCTCTTTGCGTCCAACTCGACTATAGATGACGGGGGGAATACACCGCGGACCATCCCGCGGTGTGACTGCTTCATGCCGGATCTGCGATTTACACAGCGCTCGGTTCGTAAAGCAATAATAATAAAAAGGTGTGGTTGGCAACTCGACTGCCAAGCCTAGCATTATATACACACATATTATATAAGCATATCACTTAGTGGAGTAAGTAGTGACAGACTTCTATTTGGCATAATCCTCACATTCCTCTTTTGTTTCTTTCATATATAGCATACGTGCTTCTGTTAAGATTTTTTATTACAGAATAAGTGTGACAATCGAGCACAAAGTCCATCTGATGGTAAGTGGATGCTTTGACCTCTACATTCTCATCGATTAGGAATTAATATGCACTACCCCTGAGGCTTAGATAGAATGCCTAGTTTCCAGTAAAAAAAGGTGTTCTTGTTTATCTACACTCGCCATAAGATTTGCTATTTTATGCTGTTATACTATGAGTTACTTTTAATTTGGCCCATATTCAATATGTCGCATAATTGGTTAATAAACTTCTTTATAAATCATCCCTTTCCGACTCTGTCACTCCCTTCTGCGGTATAAATTTATTCTATCACTCTTCCCTCATTCGTTCTTCCTACTTGTCTAAACCACCAAAGCATTATTTTCTTAATTCTGGTCACAACAATATTAAACAGGGTTATTTTTCAAAGTATATCCAAATTTATTTCAGTTCAAACATAATAATACTGATATATAGCGATTTGGCAGTATTTGAAAATACGAGTAAATAAGGACTCACACCTGGACGTCAGCAAGTCAAGTGGGCCTGATTGAGTCCCTCCCATTGTGATGAAGACGTGTGCTCCGGAGTTGGCACCGGTTTAACACGTCTTTTCCGGTACTCCTTGTCCCAAGGCGTAGTCTCGAATTCATGGAAGACAACTTTGGTCCATTATAAACAGTTTTCGTCGGGGTTGATCAGCTGGTGATCTTCTGGTCTATCTATATCATAGATGGGCGGAGGCAGTAGAGTTCAAGTAGTACGCATTGGCCGTTAGTTTGGTCATAGCAAA